GGCCAAGATGGGGAAGATCCCGGATGACGGCGCGCAGGCGCTGCAGATCAACAAGGCATGGCTGGCGCGCTCAGAGGAGGCGCTGGCCGCGGCAGTGCGGGTCGTCAAGGCGGAGTGGTCGCGGTCGCGGTCGCGTTCGTGGTCGTCGTCGTCGTCGTCGATGGAGGAAGGGAGGAGGAAAGGAGAAGGACGATAGGGGGAGAGGGAGGAAGGGAGGGGGAAGGCAGGAGGGGGGGGCAGGAGGAAGGAAGGCGGAAGGCAGGAGAAAGGGAGGAGGGAGGGACGCGGAAGGGAGGAGGAAGGGAGGAGGAATGGGGGAGGAAGGGAGGAGGGGGCTACAGTACGCATTCAGTTGTTCATTCCTCTTTGTGAACGGGGGCTTGGAGGCCCCCGGCCCAGTTCAAAGGAGGCGGCGGAAGCGGAGGAGGAAGAAGATTGAGCGATGGGGGACCAGAGGAGGCGGAGGAGTCCGCAGGCTGCTGTGAGCGAGAAGCCAGGGAACACCGAGACTCTCCTGAAAGACACCGAGATCGCCGCGGCGGAGGACATCGCGTTCGGCGTGGCGTACCACATGCGGTTCAGGAGCTGGAAGGCAGACGAGGCCATCAAGCGCTGCGATTGGTTACAGCTGATGTCCCTGTTGGAAAGCGGCGCTGCAGATGGCGCGCCCTCGGCAGATCTCGCGACGACGACCCTCGAGCGAGTCGGCGCGGGCCTGATTTCGGCCGTCGCGAAGTCGGACGCCAAGAAGGGAGGCGGATCGTTTGCTGCCGTGGTTGCCTTCGCTGGCGGCGCGCGGGATGCTCTCCAGCGGGCCCCCGCCGACCCTGCGCGGCCCGTGTGGGAGGAGGAGCTGAAGGGTCAAATCCAAGTTCTCTGGGCAGTGTCGCGCACGAGCACTGCCCCGCTGACTGAGGTGGAGGAGGCGCTGGAGGCGCCCCCGCAGCTGGAGGGGGCCTTGGGCGTCGCTTTGAACACGAGCCCGGGCGGCAAAGTCCTCGCTGGTTGGGCGGAGTCGGCCATGAAGAAGCGGCCCCACGAGGAGGCTGCTCTCCAGTGCGCCCAGGCAGCCCGGGAGCTCTTCGCGCAGGTGACGGGCCATGCCGCCGGGGAACAGTGGCAGAATTGGACCGAGGAGGTGTCGCGCGCCTGCAAGAAGCAGAAGGAGGCCGCGTCCAAGGCGGGCGCGCTGCAGGAGGCCGGCCGGCACCAACTCGCCAGGGAAGGCCGCGGGCGGGCCTCCGCAAGATCGCGAGTCCGTTCGATGAGGTTCGAGGGTTTCCGATCCGCCATTGGTTTTAGTTTGGCCGGTGCTGCTGCGGCGCGCCTTATTTTCTCTTACTTGAGCATGGGATGTTTGACCTCGCCGTTGCCTGTGTTTGCCTCCGGTCGAGGCACGGCGTTCGAGGACGTGGTCCTCGGGTTGCTCTTGCGCTCGCCCCGCGAGGAGGTGGGGCGAGCCGCAGCAGGCCCGAGGAAATATTCCTTGTCCGAGAGCGAGAAACAGGACACAGACAGATGAACCACCCCCGGACCCCGGACCGCCAGAACGATCAGGAGGAAGAGGAGGCGGAGGAGGGAGGAGGATGATGAGGAGAACACCTTGTGCAAGAGGTGCTGCAGCAGCGCGCCTTCTCAATGTAGTTTGGGCGCCGAAACGCGTTCTCCAGAGGAGCTCCTGACTGCCGCGTGCGTCGAGCGGCTGGAGTTGGAGCACGGCTGGTCGACCGTCGAGGAGTGGGCGCCTGATGGCATCAAGGGCCCCCACGAGACCGCCTTCGGGGCATTGAAGAAGGTCGCCGACATCGCCGCGTACAGCCGTCTCGACGTACCTGGGATGAAGCAGCCAGTGAAGACAGCCAATCGGTTGTGCGACCTCTTGAAGGAGAGCCCCGAGGCGTTGTTGAAGGTCTCTGGCGTGACAGTGTCTGCGGAAGACAACGTAGAGGGGCTGCAGTCGCTGTTCTCCCTCGCGCTGGGCACGGCGGCGCGCGTGCGCAGGGCCTTGGGCCACAGCGTTCTGGCCAGAGCCAAGGGTGCAGCAGAACAGTCTCTGAAGCGCGTGGACTCGGCGGCGTGGCAACGGAAGGAATTGCAGGCCTTCTTGAATATCTCCAAGCTGCTGAGCGCGGAGCCGCCCGAGGACACCTGGAAGGAAGCGGACATGTGGCTGTGCAGCGTCGCGGCCGTCGCCGACGCCAAGGAGCTTGCCGAGCAGGCCGGGGGCGAGCTGAACCTGGAGCTGTGGGAGAACGCGAGCGACGCCGTGCGCCAGCTCGGGGACATGGCGCAGCCGGAGCGCGCCTTCCAGACGGTCATCGCGAAGACTTTCGACGCTTCTCTGGAAGATGTGGAGGCAGCAGTGGGGGCCAGCAAGGAGCTGCACGCGCAGGCCGTGCCATGGCTGGAGAAAGTCGCGCAGGAGCGGGCTGAACGCTCCGTCAAGCGGTTCGACGCCGAGCCAGCCGTGCGCGCCGCGAAGGAGCTTCTTGAGAGGAGCCCCATCCCCGAGACGCTGCAGGAAGCGGCCGAGTTCTTAAAGGTTGTCGGTGGCACCGTGGACATGCCGGAGACCTTCGGCGGCAAGGGTGGGAAGATGGTTGATGCTGTCAACAAGGTGCGCAGATCCTTGTTCGCCGTCTTCCCCAGCTCCTCGTGTTCCTTCACCAGTCCCCCGCTGTCTCATCCCACCGAGCTCCCCTCGTTCCCAGTACATTCCGCCGCGGCTCCTCCTCGCCACCCCGCGTTCGCTCCAGGTGATCGGTGGCTTCTCTCTCATAAAGGAGGTGTACCGCGACCCCCATCTTGAGTCGCAGGTGGACTCCATGACGTCACAGTTGCGACAGCGGCTCTTCCTGGTCGCCTGGTGCGCGAACGTGACGTCGTCGATTTGGGAGGCGAAAGGGCAGTCGAGGATTCTGACCCAGCAGAAGCAGAAGGTCCGCGATGCCATGAAGAACCTCATCAGCGTCGCACAGGAGCCTGACAAGATGAAGGAGGAGTTTCCCGCGCTCGAGGGCCGCCTGATCCCCGAGATCCTTCTGAACGCGGGGAAGGCGATCCTCGCCGGCCGCGCAGTGAGCGGGGAGGGCGAGGCGGAGGGCGCCAGCGGTGCAGCAGACAGCGCGCCTGGGAGCGGGGCCGGCGGCACTGACCAGAAAGGGTGCGCCCGGGCTGGGCCCGGGGCCGCCAAGAGGGCCAGGGTGGGCGACGCGGCGTCGTTTCCAAAGGCGACGCCGCATTCCCCAGCGGTTCTGGCGGCGAAGAGAGCCAGCGTTGGCGGCGCCCCCGTGTGCAAGTCCGCGCGCAAGGCCGCGTAGGTGCGCGCTGCAGGAGTCCGGGGGCACGGTGGTGTTTTTCTTTGCGGCGGGGGCGCCTGGCGCGCTCTCCAGTCGAGCGGCCGGCGCCCAGGGGCCGCCTCGCTGAGACGAGAGGGGCGCGGGAGGCAGGGGGGCGCAGGAGATAGAGCGAGGCGGCGGGGGGAGGTCCAGCGCGCGAGATATGCACTGCGAGTTGCGGGCTGACGCTCGGTTTAGAGTTCAGGGGAATGGCGCAGTGACAGCCCGTGGCGGTCTCTCACGGGGGTTGCCCACAGGCCTTGCTTTTCCAGCTTCGGAAGTTTGCTACGGACAATGCGAGCGATGTGCTTAGTCGAGGGGAGTCTGACACTCGCTCTGCAAAAAAATGAGGAAGGATGGGGGGGAAAGCAAGGCGGAGGAGGAGCAGGAGACGCAGGAGGGTTTTGCCGTACTCTGCTGGGCGCGTCCACGAGGACGCAACAGACTTGAAACTTGCACCGATGCCGCCCCAGGCAGGCGAATCGGGATCCGTGGATGAGGAGGAGGAAAAGAGGGGAGAAGGGGAGGGGGAAGAGGAGGAGGAGGAGGAGGAGGAGAAGGGCCATCGCACACCTGCCAGGGGGTCGGCCGTAGGCAGATCAACTGCGGATGCTGCTCCTGCTGCTGCCAGTTGCCAGCATTTCAAGCCAGTCTTCGCGCGCCGAGGGCGCGCCCTGTTAGAGCAAGAGCGGTTCCTGTCCGCCGAAGGTTCTGGTTGTTGCTGCTGCTCTTGTTGCTGCTCTCCCTCCCCCCCCTCGCTCTGTAGGAGGAAGAGGATGGGTGGGTAGGAGGATGGGGGGAGGGAAGAGGAGGAGGAGGAGGAGGAGGAGGAGGAGGAGGAGGAGGAGGAGGAGGAGGAGGAGGAGGACGACGACCATTTTACAGATGCCAGGGGTTCGGCCGTTGGCAGATCTACTGCTGATGCTGCTGCTGCTGCCACTTGCCTGCGTGGCGGGCCAGTTGCCGCCCCTTGACTCGGATTAGCTCGCTCGCCTGGCGCTCCTGGGCCCCTGGTGTGGCAGCAGCAACGGCAGCAGCAGCAGCAGCAAAGGCGCACGATACCTAATGGAAGCAATAGGCACGCTCCTGCAACAGGTAAACAGAGCCTACAAAGGTAGATCATGTTCCCATCCACGGAACAGAAAAGTCGAATCCCCGATCGGCCCGAAGCACGGAAGGGGAGGAAGAGGGGAAGAGGGTGGAAGGAAGGGGGGAAGGGAGGAGGAATAGGGGAGTAAGGGGGGAGGTACAGAGGAGTAAGGAAGGAGGAAGGGAGGAGGAATAAAGGAGAAAGGGGGGAGGGAGGGGGGAAGAGGGGAGGAGGAAGAGAGGAGGGCGGGAGGAGGAGAGGGGATACTGGGAGGAGGAAGGGAGAAGGAAGGGAGGAGGAAGAGAGGGGAGCGGGGGGAGGAAGGGGTGAGAAAGACCAGGGCCATAATATTCATTATCTGGTTCACTCCTTGTGGAGGGTGGGCAGTGAGACAACCAAGCAGGCTTTTGTTTGGTCCGTGGACATGCGCCTTGGGAACCGCAGGGGGGGCCTCGAGAGGGCCCCGATGGGGTCAGTAGGCTGCCCTCCAGAGTTTTCTGGCTCAAGGCGCGCGGCGCAGTGGGCCCGCGCGGCCAGGCCGCCTCGGCGCGCGACCCGCTTCGGCGCGGCTGATGGCCCCGAAAAAACTGCCGAAGCTCCCGGATGGGAGCCGCTGGGGGCGCCTCGACCTCGACAACTTCGTGGCGCCTGCGGCGGCGCGGGCCAGCACTGTAGAAGGCTCGTCGCCGCTCCGAGCGCGCCTATCCAGGCAGGCGCCGTCGTCCATCGCCAGCGGGGCCGAGAAGAGGCCGGCCGAGGCGCCGGCCTCGAGTGCGGGTAAGAGGGCGGCCGCGGCCTCCGCTCTTCGGCGGCCGGCGGCCGCTTCGAGTGCCAGGGGAGCCGCGGAGGCGGCTGTGACAGCGGGCGAGGAGGAAGCTCGAGGGCCGCTGGAAGGTTTGCCGGAAGCTGGCGCTGCTGGGCGCGCCGAAGGCGACGCCTCGGCAGACCCCGTGCGTCGCGAGGGCGCCGCTGGCGGCGGCGACCGAGAGGGTCGGGCATTGAGCGAGGGGCGCGGCAAGGCGTCGTCGGAAGTAGAGGCCGACGCGGCGGCCGCGGACGTGGGGGCGGAGGCTGACGACCTGCGCCAGCTTGCCGAGGAGAGCGGCGGCGACGGCGGCGAGCTCGGAGAGGAGGAGCAGCCGCGCGAGGAAGACCCCGAGGTCATCGGAGATGACTGGTTGCCAGCTTGGCCAGCCCCGAAGGCGATCGATGCAGCCGCGGTTGCTAGTGGACATGCGCTGCGATTCTTCGGGGAGTGGGTGGACCCCCGTCCTCAAAGAGCACGCCGCGTACGTCACGGAATCGATGCCCCAGGCGCTCTCGGTGGCGGCGTTTGGCGACGGAATGCTCGTCGCGGCGCCCGTGCTCACGGAATTGCAGAGGGTGTTCCAGAAGCACGGTCTCTTGTCGGAGGGTTTTCGCATCGCTGCCCACTGCCGCACGGACGCGGCTAAGAGCACCATGGCGAATCAGCGCGCTCAAGTGTTCGCGAGGTGGCGCGCGCCGTTAGGCGGATCTGGGCGGAGCGTGGACGACGGAATCCGGGGCATCGGCGGCCTCCCCAGAGGTGCTGCTGCGCGCGCCAGGGGGGGCCCAGCCTTGCTCTTGGGGAGCTGTTCGTTCAGGCGCCCGGGGGCCAGCGGCGCCAGCGCGGCCAGCATTCCCCTGCAGTATGCGGCGCAGAACAGCGAGCTCGTTCTCGTGGAGAGCACGGGCGGGCCGGGGGAGAGCATCCCGCACGACGAATTGCAGGAAACCGACGAGTGGCAGTGTCTGACCTTCGGCGTGGACTCGGCGGACTACGGCGCGCCTTTCAGCAAGTGCAGCAGGTGGCTGTTGGCGGCGCGCGGGGGCGCCCTGTTGAACATGGAGTCGGGGACTGAGTTCTTCCGCGTGTTCGCAGAGAGCGTCGAGGCACGGCAGATCCGCGGCCCTCCCTTCGAGGCTTTTGCGGAGGCTTCGGCGACGGTGTGGTCGGACTACATCGGCGATGCCATTCTGCAGCGGGAGGCGGTTCAAACGCGCGCCCTGCCAGTGGGCTGGCAGAAGGGCATTCTCGAGTATTGCTTGCGGAACCAGGTGAAGATGCCGACCGTGGCCGCGGCCGACGCTCTTTTCGGCGTGAGCCGATGGTTCCGCGTCCTGGACGACAAGAAGAAGATCTTGCTCGCTCTTGCGTCGGCGGAGCGCAGGGGCCACGGGTTCGTCGTGGACCTGTCCGCGGGCCTGGGCGCCAGGCAGCCGCTGCCGCCAGGGGCGCTGCTGGCGGGCCCATTGCGGGGCAATTCGGAATTCTGGTTCTCTGGTTCAGGCCGCCAGGGCAAACCGACCCTTCACGGCATTCTCTATCCTGGGCTTTCTCTCTCTCTCTCTCTCTCTCTCTCTCTCTCTCTCTCTCTCTCTCTCTCTCTCTCTCTTTCCCTCGCTTTCTCTCTCTCTTTCTCTCTTTCTCTCCTTTCTCTCCTTCTCTCCTTTTTTCCTTCTCTCTCTCTATCCTCCTATGTCTCTCTCTCTCTCTCTCTCTCTCTCTTCTCTCTCTCTCTCTATCTCTTCTCTCTCTCTCTCTCTCTCTCGTCTCTTCTCTCTCTCTCTCTCTCTCTCTCTTCTCTCTCTCTCTCTCTCTCTCTCCTCTCTCTCTCTCTTCTCTCTCTCTCTCTCTCTCTCTCTCTCTCTCTCTCTCTTTCTCCTTCTTTCTCTCTTTCTTTCTTTATTTATCTCCTCTCTCTCTCTCTCTCTCTCTCTCTCTCTCTCTCTCTTCTCTCTCCCCTCTCTCCTCTCTGTTTTGTTTTGTGTTCTCTCTCGCCTCTCTCTCTCTCTTTCTCTCTCTCTCTCTCTCTCTCTCTCTCTCGCTCTCTCTCTCTCTCATCTCTCTCTCTCTCTCTCTCTCTCTCTCTCTCTCTCTCTCTCTCTCTCTCTCTCTCTCTCTCTCTCTCTCTCTCTCTCTCTCTCTCTCTCTCTCTCTCCCTGTTCCCCTGTGCGCCCGTGCTCCTGTGCCCCTGTTGTTTGCCTTGACCTCTTCCAGGCGGCCGAGCGGGCCGCGTGCTGATCGGCCGCGAACTGGCTGCCGCCGCCGGGATTCCCGCAGACGGGGAAGGCAGCGTCGAGGTGTGGCGCTCGTTGGCAGGGTGCTGCACATGCGCGCCGATGCCGTTGGTTCTCTTGCAGACGCTGCTCCTTGCGGCGCCCTGGAGGGGAAACCTTGATCTAGGGCTGACTTGGCCGCTTCGGCTTGGGCTTCTTGACGCACTGCAGAGGCTCCGAGGAAAAGCGCCATCGCCCTTCTCACCGTGCCCAGAGCGGCCCAAGAGAGACTCGCGACGGCCTCGCACGGCACTCCGATGAGTTGGCCCCGTGCGCCCCAAGAAATCTTTACGGCCGCCCGACGGGGCCCCCAGACTGCCCCCGAAACGCCTTGAAAGACTTCCCAAAACAGCACGGAAGGGCCAAGACTTCCAGAGAGCTCCAGAACGGCCCGGCGGCCCACGAGGCACTCAGAACGGTTCGAAGCCAGCGCCGAGAGCTCCCGAAGGGGGGCCCGCTCGCAACCTTGGATTAGCGTGGCGACTGTCAGAGAACAAATTGTTGACGTTTCGCGCATCGGCGCCAGCCCATCCAGAAACGACGCCCAGGCGAGTTGAGGTGTCTAGGGAAGTGCGGGAATAAAGAGGGCGACAGCTGAACCGAGCCAAGGAAGTACGATGAGGAGGAGGAGGAGGCTGGATTGATGGATGCGTGAGGGGGCGGGGAGAATGATGATGAGTAGGAGAAGGAGTAGGAGTAGGAGTAGGAGTAGGAGCAGGAGGAGGAGGAGGAGGAGGAGGAGGAGGAGGGGGGGGAGAGGGAAAAAGGGAGAGCACGGAGGAGGAGGAGGAGGAGGAGGAAAAGGAGGAGGAGGAGGAGGAGGAGGAATCGGAGGAAGAAGAGAAAGCAGGAGGAGGAGGAGCACGAGGAGAAGGAGGAGGACACGAAGGAGGAGGACGAGGAGGAGGAACAGGGCGAGCAGAATAGCCAGAGGCATCTTCAATGCCTATCGTAGTATCCTCGGATGGCTCTTAGACGCTTTTTGCATGCCTGTTGGGGCGTCTGGGGGGCCTCTTGGCAGGCCCAGTGGTGTTTTTGAGAGTCTTGGGTGCCGCGGGGATCCTCTTGATGCCTCTTGGGGTCTTGGGGGCCTCTTGGAGGCCTCCTGGAAGCCTATTGGAGACCTCGCGGGAGCCGCCTGGGTCCTCTTGGGGGCCCCATGGGGGCCTGTCGGGGCCATCTTGGGGGCCATCTTGGGGGCCATATTGGGGGCCATGGAATTTGCGCGTGCCGGTTATTTGGGTGTAAACAACCACGGTTTTTTGCATGCAAATAATCATTCAAAATTATGAATTAATCAATTAAAATGCAAAAATGCGAATTAATAGTTTATAAATTGAATTTCTGATCAAAACCATGAATTTCCATACAGAAAACGAATTTCTAGTCAAAATGAAGTTCGGGAGTAGCTACAGGTGCATTGAATCATGCTAAGGAAAAAAACAAACAGACACAATTATTTGTCGATTTCCAAGGAAATATGGGAAAATATGGGAAGTGGGGGGGAAGACAGAAACCCAGAAAATATGTGGGAAATATGCGGAATACTTTTATTTGTGTGTATTTATTTGTGTGTCCTGGGGCTCCTTCAGTTAAGTCGGGCCTGTCCCTCTACAGGAGGAATCTTCAAACATAGCAAAAAACATAGTCAGGGGACAACTCTCGGAATCACCCTTAAATGGGGCATTTTCAGATTATGTTTTTTTTTCCTTCCGAAGTCCCCCTCTGTAGGAGGACATGCCCGACTTAGGTCTGGGGAAGTGGCGTTCCTGCGCGGGAGTCCCAGACATCCGACGTCTCGATTTTTTCGAGACACGGACCCCCGACCTCGCGACCACTTCCCCGGGGCCCGGTTGTTCGTCCCGAGGAGTCGTTCTTTGACGGTCCCGAGGCCCGGCGAGGGCCTCGAGAGGCCGAAAGCTACGGAAAACCTCCGTCTCGATTTTTTTCGGGACGCCCGATCTCTGGGGTCGTGGGGTGGGTGGAGGCTGAAAGCTACGAAAAACCTCCGTCTCGATTTTTTCGAGACGCCCGATCTCTGGGGTCGTGGGGCGGGTGCCGACCGCGGGCGGGCCCGCCCCCCCGGCGCGCGCGCCGCGGCCGCCGGGGAGCGGCCCTCCCTGGGGGGGGGGGGGGGGGCCCGCCGGGGGCCCCTTCGCCGCGCGGCGCGCGCGTCGGGGCCCCAGCGGTGGCGCGCGAGGTGCCCAGGCCCCCTTCGGGTCGTGACTTACTCACTGCGTGGAGCTCCCCATATGTGCAGCTATTCGCATGGGCCTGTCCGCCGTGGATGTCTAGGCGCAAGAGCTTTCGAAGATACAAGGCCTTCGGTTGCGACTGCGAATGAATTGGAGTGTGGATCGGCCTCAGTAGCACGAGCGCGCCTATGCGCACGAGCCTGGGGCCTCCTGGGGCCTCCTGAAACCTACTCGGGTCGTGAAGAAATCACGCTGGTAGGTTTTTCGTCGTTTTCGTCCCCTGGGGGCCCTTCCTCGGGGGCGGAAAAGAGGGGGGTGATGACTAGGGGTGGGTGGGTATCATGGCGGGGGCCATGATATTTCTCCAGATTTCATGCCGCCTCTTCTCATTTCCTTACGTAACTGGCATCCCCGCTGGGCCGCGCACATGCCGCCGGTCATGATTTGCACCCCCCCTCTCTTGGACACCCCCCTCTTGGCCGCTCCCGACTTACTCGGATGTGGACAGACCTCCTACCCTGACACGCCGATTAGTGGATTGGCCGTTTTCGGTTCGCGAGTGGGCGTCGCGGCTGTTATTTATGCGGGTCCAGGTCCGTCGGTTTCGATTCTAGGCCGTTTTCCCTAAAGAGAGGTTTACGAAAGGGAGGTTTGTCCACCGCCGACTTACTGGCCCTCGGGACCGTCAACAAAAGGATTCAGGACGAAAAACCGGTCTCGGGGAACGGGTCCAGACCACTGGGGGTCGACGTAAATGAAAAAATCATGACGTCGGGGGTCTGGGGCGTCAGAGTGCCCGGCTGGCGGTCTCTCCGCCTGCAGCGCGCCAGCCGGGTGTGCCACACCCAGACGCGATCGCGTCGTGCAAAAATCCGGGCGGCAAGCTGTTGTCGCTATATTTGGCCCCTATATGGGGGCCCTCGCCGGGCCCCGGGCCCCTGGGAAAGGGTCGGGACTTCCAGGGACGCCGCCCTGAAAATATCAGGACGCCGCCTGTCTGGGCACGTGTCCTCCCACGGGCGCGCCGTCCAACCCGGGCTGTGCGCCCGCGCCTGGCACCGGCGCGTCCCGCTCTGGCGGCGTGTGCCTCTGCCCGCCCGCCGCCAGCGGCCCCATGTCCGCTTGGCTTCCCGGCGCCCCTCCTCTCGCCTGCGTGTTGGCGTGGGCCCCCCCTTCCTGGGACCCTGACCCTCGCGCCTGCAGGTCCCCCTGCCCGCCTGCCTGGCCTCCTGCCGCGGGCCCCTCCCCCCACCGCTCCGGCGCCGCCCCGCCTCGGTGCTGCGCCCGCCTCGGCCCCCGCCGGTCGCCGCTGTGCGCTCGTGCGCGCCGGCGCTCATGGCCACACCCCAGGCGTGGCCGCTGCCCACAGCCCCGGGGTTCTGCAGATGGGCTCCGCCCCTGCGGGCAGCTCGCAATGCCCCCACTTGGGGGTCGCAGCCGTTGCGGCTCGCAGCCCGCTCTTGCCTCCCCCGCCGGGGGCCTGCTCCCGTGCTCCACTGGCGCTCGGCGCCGCCCTCTCCCAGGCTATATGATGCGTGCGCCGGCAGCGCCCGTGCCGCCGCCCCGCTCACCCGGTCGGGCGGCCTAGTCCGCCCGCCGCCCGCTGCCTCCCCCCCGCGTGTTGGGCATCGCCCGCGCTGCGGCCGCTGGCCTTTCGCCTGGGTGCGCCCGCGACGCCGCCCCGCGCCGCTGCCAGGGGGTGCCCCGCAGCCTGGCCGCGCTGCGCGCTCCCCGCGGCACCGCCGCGTGAGAGTGCCCTCCCCTCCTGTTTCCTTCTTACGGCCGCCCTGTGCTGCTCCGCCCCCCCTCTGCATGCGCGACGATTCGCAACTCCGCACCCCGGGCCTGCTCCACGTCCACGTGCGAGCGGATCGCCTCTGCCGCGCCGCGACGGAGAAGTCTGGTCCCCTCGTTTGCGCGGCATGTGAAGTGCAGCTGCCTCGTGGCACGCGGAACGGCAGGAGAGGGGAGGAGGAAGAGGAGGAAAACTACA